TATATATATATATATATATATATATATATATATATATATATAAACAATCGCATTAAAAAACTATAATAAATACCCGTTATATATCTGTATTCAAACTAGTATTTATTCTTTCTTCTATTTCCTTTATGTTAAATGCGCCCGATACTAACCTCGATTAATGTAGGTAGACCTAGAATAATGATATTGTTCCATTACCTTGTTTCATTTCCAAGATTGATGCATCATTTCTTTTAGTATCTATTTCATCTTCTTACAAATTAATTTATAGATAAACTAATTTTAGTTTATGATAAAAATTTATTTTTGTGACAGTCATTTGTGCCTTTTATTTTTATTTCTAAATTCTTGTGAACAAATTATGTGGAATATGCTGAAGATCAATTTTTAAGAGATAAAATTAATTTGTTGGTACTTTTTATAAAAAAAAAATTACATTATGGCTTATTAATAAAACATTTATATTTTAAATAAAATAAATTAAAATTTAATTATAAAGAATCATTATTATCTTTATCTTATCATTTCTTATATTATCCATAGTCTCATGATGTGACAATTTTTTTTAATAAATATTAATTAATGTTATAATGATATAAAAAACTTTAAAAAATATTTTCTTTTATTAAAAATGTATTTATAATATATCTTAATTTTGTTTTTAATATGTTCTATTTATTAATTCTTTATGTAATGAATAGTAAGTAAAAAAATATAGTTAATTTTGCCTCTGTAAGAATAAACTTGAGCAATATAAAAACAATAGCCCGCCATCTGCTTAAATTATACTGTCAACTTAAAAGATCTAAGGAAAAGGGGAAAATGCCATTTTTTTAATAAAAAAATTCATGTTGCTTTCTGATAAAAAAAAAAGTAATATGTATAAAACTAAATAGTTGAATTAAAAAAAAGGATATATTATTTTTATCATCGTCAAAAAAAGTTACCAAAATTTAAGAAATATATATACTACAGATATTATATTATCAAAAATTTCCGTGATAAATATATTGATATTGTTACTAATATCGATAAATTATAATATAAAATTATTTTTGAATCAAGTATGTGTAACCTAAGAAAAGAAATAAAATAAAATTTAAATATGTTTTTAGTCTCTTAAATTTATGATAAATTTATTTTTGGTCTCTCAAATTTAAAATGGTTAATTTTTAGTCCTTATAATTTTAAAAAATTTGTATTTAGTTATTATATTTAAATTTTGTTAATGAATTTATCAAATATTGTTATATAAAATTTACCTATTAGTCTCCTTAAATTTAATTAATATTACATAACTGTCTTAATCTTTTACGTTTAGATATGTTATTGACTACATGAGAAACTAAAATAATATTTTTTTAGAATTATAAGATTACAAATAATAATTTTAAATTTGAGGAATAAAAAATAATTTTACTCTTAATTTAAGAGATTAAAAATATATTTATCATTTACAATATTTCTTATTGACTTATATTATTTTTTTTTAAAAATCATATCATCCTTAAATGTCATAAATTTCTTTTGAATCATATAAATTCTTACAATAGAAATTCATTAAAATTTTGATTATAAGTATTTTTTATTTATAAAAAATTCTTAAAAATTATTACATTTGTCCAAAATCTTTTAAAATCTATGATATATTTTTATGCTAAAATAATATATTTTAAAATCATAACTCAATATACTATCCTTAATTTATTGTAAAAATTTAAATTTTTGTGTTAATATTAGGTTAGTTTATTTAAAATTATTTCTTTTTATAAAAATTAGAAAGAAAATTTTTTTCTTTCTAAATTAACTGATTTAACATATGAAAAAAATCTTAAAATAATTGAAACTTTTAATGCTATATTAGTTTTTTTAAATTTATTCTCTCATATTATTTAACCACAATAATTAAAAATAATATATTTATTAAAATAATAGAGTTATTTTAGTAAAATTGTATAAAAAATATATTTATTATTGTCTTTAATTTGCATACTAAAATTTTAAATTGCAGTCATTCTTACATATCAGAAATTATCCTTACACATATTAGCAGTAAGATACTCCTATAAGTACCATAATATAAAAAGTGATTCTAAAATGGAGGAATATTTGCTTAAAAAAAATAGAACATTACTTTTTTTTATAAAAAATAGTTTGGACAAATATACAAATAAGTAATAAATCACATTAAAAGAATTAAATAAACTGGACTTTATATTATTTTTTGTGTGTAGATATTAAGTGTCTTCTTTATATCCATAAATATTAAGTGTATGAATAAAAAACTGGTTAAAAAAAATTCAAACTCTATCAACCGTGTTCTTAAATCTTTGACTAATAAATAATTATAAATTGTTAATATTAATGTAAATTGAATAGTATTAATTACTTTATTTATTGTAGAAATAGGGTGAGGTCCACAACAAATAAAGAATTGAATGAGTAGTAGAAATTTGAAAAAAGAAAAAGAGAATTAAATAGCATCTTTTTTAAAAATAACTTGTCCGTTGGTACTTTTTGTAAGAAAAAAAAATGTACGCAATAAAAACTTTATTCTGACGTGTCCTGATCTTAAGCGTCCATTTTTGAAAGATATTCGAACTTTAAAGCATAGGGTTTGAAACTCAAGAGTCCGCCTCTTTATGTTTGAATAGAGAGCAGTAGCGTTTAACTCTCTTTTTCCATTTTCAATTCTCCATTGTGCATTGTGGTGCTTGATGTGCATTTGCAGATCTTTCTTCTGTCTCATTCAAGTTTGGATCGGCAAATGCGCACCGTTTCGATCGCATCATCCATTTCCTCCGCTTCTCGCATTCTGAGTCTTATTGGGTGAGTGTGTCTCCAACGGTCATATTCGATTTCATTCGCATGTTGGTTCTCCGGTTCTCTTCCGAGTCTTAGATCTTGTTTTTGGTAGAATTTTACGATTCTTCGGTGGATTCGGAGTTTTGAACATCTTAAATTTGAATTGCTGTGTTTTTTATTTTTAATTTTGAAATCTTATTTGTGATTTTGAAATTGTGGATTGGCCTTCTACCCAATTGTGTAATTGAGCCATCGGGTGGATGTTTATCTGTATGATTCAAGTGGTGAACGCTTCGGAAATGGTGATATATTAAATTTGTTGAAGATTCAAATATGCTTTTATGAAATTGTTTGGTTAAGGAAGGATTCCCCAATCTTGAAATCAAGTTTTCTTGACTTCGATCTTGTTCACCGATAATTTTAGGAATCTTTGTTGGATTTTGAGATTGAACAACGTTAATTTAAATTGTTCTGTGCTTTTCATATTTGTGATTGTGACGTTGAAAATGTGAAAATGGATTAGTGTTCTTCCACTGTAAATTTAGTACTGGATTATGTAATTGAGTGTGATACAAGTGGAAAATGTTCAGAAATGGTGATGTATTGTTTTTTTTTTTTTTTTTTGGATTTGAATTTCTTTTTATTAAATTGTTTGGCTGTGAAAAAATTCCTTGATTTTTTTTTGCTTTTAACTTATCCTGACTTGTGTTTCTTTGCAGAAGTTTGTTTATGCGATTTCTTAATTGAGGGAGGTACTATAATGATTTGGAGAAGCCATACGAGAGAGAATTGCAGTCTAGTGGGAATTGGGGAATGCTATTTTAGTTATCTGCCAACAAACTATGGAAGTCGATAGGACAATCCCCGTTGCATCAGATGGGGTTATAGATGGTGTTCAGAAAATTAGAGCTCTGCAAGGGTAATTTTCAAAATCGTCTTTGTTTCACTACATTCTTAACAATACATTTTGTTCTTTTAATCTAAGACAGGCCTTTAACATTAGCGTGATGAGTGAGTGAAATAAATATTGGTCGCTGTTTGGTCCGTTTCTCTCTAGCTACAAGGCATTTCTTGTAGCATCTTCAGCACTTAACAGTTGACATGTTTACATGTGGAGCTGTTTGTTGCTTTCTTTTGGGGAATAATTTATTAACAGGGTTGAGGATTGAGATCCTTATCTTCCTAATTTTTTTTTAATGCTCCAACTTTATTCTTGCTTTCTCTTAAACAAATAATGTTCCCGTATATAAAAACAAAGACAAAAGAAACCTCTATAGGTAACTGTAGTAGGTTGTTTCTATGAAGAGATGAAGTAGATTTTCTCTTACGATATAATACATATATGTAGGAGGACTACTGGCCCTACGAGGCGCTCTACAAAAGGACAATGGACACCTGAGGAGGTGGGTTTTTAAAAACTTTAAACTATTTCATCTTTTGGAAGTTTGGTAATGTTTTGCTTGTGATACAAAGTTCCTTTACTCAACTTGTATTTTTATATACTGGTAATGTTTTATTAGCTCTATAAAGTTATGTATCTGGTGAAGTTAAGCAGGTTTATGAGGTGATATTCGTGTGTTTTGTTTTTGCAGGACGAAATTTTGCGGAAGGCAGTTCAACGTTTTAAAGGAAAGAACTGGAAAAAAATAGGTAATATTTAGGTTGCGGACCCTCTTATATAGTGTGCATTTTCAATTCTGATTAAATTATGTTTGAAAGCGGACCTTAATATGCATGCTTAACGGGGAAGATATAATGGGGTAAAAAGGACTACGTTTCGTGGGGATCTATATTTTGGTCCAATCGACCACTTTTGTAATTCAACTGTGTTTCTCGTTTATATATGTTCTTTTTAATAATCTTCGCAACAAACACGTTAACATATTAAGCAGTAAGCACTTGTTAATTTATGCAATATTTTGTTATGTGACTTGTTCTGATTGCCAAATTTGTTTGTAGCGGAGTGCTTCAAGGATAGAACGGATGTACAATGTTTGCATAGGTGGCAGAAAGTCTTGAATCCAGAACTTGTCAAAGGTCCGTGGTCTAAAGAGGTAATCTCTACTTTCCATTTCTTGCCCGTGTTGATTTTATCTCTACATGCTGGTATTTATTCTGACGTGGTATTAGATTGTATCAATTTTCTATTTACATATCTAATCTGAACTTACCTATCGAATCTGAATGCAAACAGGAGGATGAAATAATTATTGATTTGGTGAATAGATTCGGGCCTAAAAAGTGGTCTACTATCGCACAACACTTACCTGGACGTATCGGCAAGCAATGTCGAGAAAGGTATGGGATATTGCATTTCTATTATTTTGTGCAAGACACAAGCATCATTAATGTACCTTTTTTGTCAAAAAATGATAAATTAGAGTATAATAATTACATATTTGTGTTCAGACTATCTTTATCCTTGTTGCATCGTATATACGTACATACATCATATTGGAGAATTTCGAGGGTGTAGTTAATTCTCATTTATGTAATTTGTAAAATGTATAGGTGGCATAATCATCTTAATCCTACTATAAATAAGGAAGCATGGACGCAGGAAGAAGAGTTGGCTCTCATACGTGCACATCAGGTTTATGGGAACAGATGGGCGGAATTAGCGAAGTTATTGCCTGGAAGGTAAATACATATTGAATTCCTTATTTTAAAAAATAAAAAAGGAGACGATTGAGGGGAGAGGGAGGAGGGGCATGCAACCATGGCTCTGTTTTTTTTTTTCTTTCAAGAAAAATAATTTTACAAAAATAAGAGATATGTTATGCAAAAAACCTCACAAACTTTTTATTATTAGGCTCTCAAGGTATATTTTCAACACTTCACTTCATTTTGGAATCACAGTTTCATATAAAGTACTGGGGTGTGGTGGGAGAGAGAAACAGATAGACCAACATTTATCAATAAAATTCTTGTATGTTTCTCTTTTTTATACAGGATCCCTGCGGTAAACTGCAGGAGATCCCAATTTTGTCACCCGAGTGTTCCTGGTTTTCTATGTGCAGTTTCGTTTCATTTTTGTCCCGTTTAAATAAGTATTTGGATTTGTGATGTACTAGTGCTTATGTGGCAACAGGACAGACAATGCTATAAAAAACCATTGGAACAGTTCTGTCAAAAAAAAATTGGAGTCCTACTTGGCATCGGGCTTGCTTACTCAGTTACAAACTGTACCACCAGTTGTTGGAAATTCGAATCAACCTATTGCTTCAACCTCTTCGATGTTGCAGCGGAATGGAGATGACAATTGTCCTAGGGGGATAGATGGAGAGGAAGTTTCGCAGTGTAGCCAGGAGTCAGCTAATGCTGGTCACTTGTCGTCAGCCAGAGAGACAAGCAGTGTTGTTTTACAAACTGGGGATGAGTACAGGCCAAATGAAGAACATAGTCAAGCATCCTGTTCAGAGCCATATTATGTGTCTCTGGATGAAGTTACCGCATCTCTTCCAGACATGACAGGCCATGAGATTTGCAATTCCCAATTCATTGAGCAGAAATATTCTCTCAATCCTATGAATTCCATAAATGGGGATAGTCGGCTTGATTTAACTGACTTGACCAATATTTCCTCCCTGGACTATGTGCAGGATTCATCGCAGTTGCAAAATGATTGCATAGCTCCCAGTGAAAGTCATGACATGGTGAATGTTCCGTTTCAGACTTCGGTGGGGTTAAGTGTTACTTCTCTGGAATCAATTAAAGCAGAACAAATGTTGATGTCTGATGAGGAATGTTGCAGAATTCTGTTTTCAGAGGCAATAAACGATGAATGCTTTTCTTCTGGAGATTATAATAAGGGTGTAAACATGATTGACTTGACAGGATGCAGCTCATTTCTTGGTCAGTCATCATTACCATCTGTCCCATCAGGGGTTTCTTCTACTGGTGATAGGTATCAACATGTGTATACTACCGAAGTCAATCAGTTGGTTGGGTCTGAGGATCAGCAGTTTGTCTCCAGAACACAAGATAACATAATTTATGCCAATGACTTATCCAGTTCTCCTTGTATCCAGAGGATAGACAGCGCGGAAATGCAAGAGCCATCAGATGTTGTGCAAGATAATTCAAAATTGGTCCCTGTAAATAGTTTTGGCTGTGGATCAGACGTTGAGCAAACTTCCTATCCAACGGATGAAAAGTCAAATGTGCATACAGAACAGGAGGAAACAGGTGCTCTATGTTATGAGCCTCCCCGCTTTCCAGCAAGCTTGGATATTCCTTTCTTAAGCTGTGATCTTGTACAGTCTGGGGGTGATATGCAGCAAGAATTCAGTCCCCTAGGTATCCGCCAATTTATGATGTCTTCTATGAACTGTCTAACTCCTTTTAGATTATGGGACTCGCCTTCCCATGGCAGTAGTCCAGATGCTTTGTTGAAAAGTGCAGCTAAAACCTTCACCAGTACACCATCTATATTAAAGAAACGTAACCGAGAGCTTTTATCTCCACTATCAGACAAAAGAATTGACAAGAAACTTGAGATTGAAATGACATCAACCTTGATAAAAAACTTTTCCCGATTGGATGTCATGTTTGATGACAATGAGACCCAGGGAGGAGATTCGCTTCCTCCATCTTCAGTACATAAAGGGGACTCTGGTGCCTCTGTTGAAGATAATAAAGAGAATTGTGGACAAGCTGTTAGAGTGGAGAAAAATAAGTCTGCAATTTTGGATGACGAAAAGTCAGAAAAAGATTTAGGTGATAGTAATTCTCAGGATGAGATTAAGCAGCAGCAACCTCTTGATGCTGATTCTGAGATAAAGAATGACGTTAGTGCTGCTGCTGAGACTGTAAGTATTATTTTCTTGTAATAAGCTGTTATCCAAAATTTGTAAATATATACTTATCTCTGTCGTTATTGTGTTTGTCAGGTGCAACAACCTTCTGGAATTTTGGTTGAACATGATATGAATGACCTGCTACTGTATTCTCCTGGTCAAGTTAAATTAAAATCAGAGAGAGTTCTTACTTTGAGTGCTAGAACTAAAAAAGGTTCAGGCTCAAGGATCAACTCACCATCTGTTTGGATAAAGGAGCGTGAAAGACTTTCAGTTGCTGTTACTTGTGTACAGTCTATCAGTTCATCAGGCCCAGGGGACAATTCGGGTGATCACACTGCAAAAGATGGTGATCTTGAAACATGTAGCATGTAATTTTCTTTAAAATAATTATTATCATTTTGGTATTACCGCCCACTGTTTCCATTTCCCATTATTTTTTGAGTGCTTTTATAATGAAACTGGCATTTGAAAAATTCTGTCATTATGCCGCACTTGAAAAATTCGTCCATCCAGTTTTTCTTATTTGCAACGTTTTGGACTCCAATGTCATTGCTCTGTCGCTTTGATTGTCAAATTATTCTGTGGCAATGCGCAGTGTTTCTGACTGCTTGTTGCATTTCAGATTTGGTGGAACACCTTTTAGGAAAAGCATTGAATCTCCTTCGGCATGGAAATCTCCTTGGCCCTTCAGCACTTTTTTGTCTAGCCCCAGGATTGATACTGAAATTACAATTGAGGTACTAAAGATTCTGTTGGACAATTATTTCTCTTGAAGTAGATTTTAATTTCATTACAATAAAAACAGAGATCATTTTTACAGGATTTTGGGTATTTCTTGAGCCCTGGTGACAGAAGCTACGATGCAATCGGATTGATGAAACAGATCAGTGAACAAACTGCTGCTCAATATGCCAGTGCTCATGAGATTTTAGGAAATGAAACTCCGAAGGCGTTACCCAAAGATGCGTCTGGAATCGACAGGGATGGAGACCAGGAAAATATCGATCCTCAGAATCAGCACAGGAACCATTCTCAGTTGGCTTCAAGTGCTTTGGTAAAGTTTAACTTCAACCTTTGTCCTTTGATTCACATATTCACCTTGTCCATTCCCACAAGTCAACTTTTTGTTGAAAAGTTGAAACATTTTTAGATCTACTGATATTTCATCATGAAACTGATGGTAAGAGAAACACAAATATAACATAAAGATTAAATATGTTTTTACTCATGAATTTTTATCGAATTTTGTTTTTAATCTTTGAACAAATTTTATCTGACTTTAGGCTTGAAATTTATTTTCATGAATAAAATATTTCGACACCAAGCATAAAATGCTAATAGAATAAAAAGTTCAAAAATTAAAAGTGAAATTTGACAAAAATTTAAAGACTAAAATTAGTATAAAAAATAATTGTTTGAGAACTAAAAATAAAAATTGACAAAAGTTCGTTAACTCAAAATATATTTAACCTCATAGAGAATATAGATCTCCTAATGTTTCATCATAAAGGAGTTTATTGGCTTGCAGGTGGAGCGGCGTATACTTGACTTTAGCGAATGTGGAACTCCGGTGAAGGGTGAAAACAGCAAAACCTCAGCAATGAGTTTCTCAAGCCCGTCTTCGTATTTGTTGAAGGGCTTTAGATAGTTGCTCCTGCTCGTGCACTGTAATGCTAAAGTCTCCAGATGTTGTCCTCTTCATCCTTAAGTATATTTTATATATAGTTTACTATTTTTTATAATTTTAATTTTTGTTGTCTAGCTTACAGTTATGAGACTTGAATTTGTAATTGTAATCTACTTCAGTTTGTAACATTCTCGATTCTTAAATTGTCGCCTCTATAGTAAGCAAATATACATGAAACGATTTAGACTTCTCTACCTGCGTGAATAAGCTTCTCATAGCATCTTTATATTCTAAACAAATATTATAAAAAAAGTCTGGAAGCAGTATAATGTCACCAAATGTCTGCAGCACCTACAAACAGGTATGGATAAAAAAGAAAAGAAAAAAAAAAACAGATGAAGGTATGGGAAATAAGAGCAAGCATGGGGGGATTCACATACAAGATAATTTTTTAATCTAAAGATATTTATACGACTTGATAGTGGCTTTAAAACATTTATCATAGATATTAACTCTTATGATAAATTTTTTTCAAAGTAAAATAGGATTAGTGATTTGGAATGGTGGTGAAATTTGAAAACATATTGTTCATGAAATGATATATTTACTTAAAAAGTTAGTTTTGATTTTACTTGTTACAATCGCAACAATTGAAAGATCTTTTATACAATTGAATTTTGTGAAGAATTTAATGTGAAATAATACTAGGGATGGTATTTTTTTACAAAATGAATAATTGTTTGATTACATTCAAAGAGAGATGATAAATTTTCAAAGTGAAATGGGATAATGATTTGAAATGGTGGTGAAAATTTGAAATATCAAATGATATATCTACTTTAAAAGTTAGTTTTGATTTTACAATTGAAAAATCTTTCATAGAATTGAATTTTGGAAAAAATTTAATGTACTAGAGATGATTTTTTTTTTTTTTTACAAAAATGAATATTTGTTTGATTAGATGCAGATAAATTGTTTACATATACAAATAAATCATACATTATTTTCAAAAAATACAGACAGATATCTATAATAAAAAAATCATACATTATTTTCATAAATATATAAATGCTTAGAGGACAATTGTTTATTTTGAAGTTTATTTTTTGTCATATTTTTATAGAAGTTTATTTTTCTTTTGTAAAATATTATAAATTATTTTTTTGTCCCACTAAAAAAAAACTCCAGGATCCACCTGTAATAGCACGGAAAGCTCAAAACTTCATGCTTTCGAAAGGCAACTAACAAACCAACATGTGTTGAACTAAGAAAAGGAATCTTGAATTCATTCTTAAAATTTAAGTGTATGAAAAAAAAATAATTAAGAGAAACCCATACTTAAGACTTTGATTGTATCATATGAGAGATTGATTTCACTTACTAAGAAATACTTGTAAGAAACAAAAATGTAGAAGGAATGTATATTATATTTTCATTGTAATTCATGTCTGTGTGCACACACAAGTAAAACTAAGATATAAAAGAAAAAAATAAATCTTAATTGATGTTATGATTTTGTGATCAAATCATTGTTCTAATTACATTAATTAAGAAAGTTAAACTATAAGAAAAAGTATAACAATAATTTTTTTAATAACCAACACTAAATATAAGGAAAATCATTTTGTTTGAGATGATCAAACTAATTTTATGTCAATCATTGTTTTCATGTTAACATCCTCCCTAGAACTTGAGCAATATCAAGTGCTCGATACAACTCTTAAATATATGAGAAAGCATTCCTATCTTCAAAGATTATCATACAATATCAATGAAAACAATGAGAAATTTTTTGCAATAATCAATCGTAATGATCAATAAATATCATAATATTCTATGTATGTACGAAATGTCAATTTTTAAGCCATTCTTAATATTTTCACTTATAATAAATAATACTTCAAAATTCTCTAAACCTCTAATGCTAGAACTATCGTACATATAATCTCCTCTTCTAATTAATTCTTCTACTTGTCTTTCTCTACTCATCTTAAACTACCAGAAACTAATTCTCTCTTTTTTTCCACTATAAATATCTTATCATTTTTTTCTCTACCAGTCATTCTCAACCTTGTAGTATACGAGTATTTAAGATATTCACTCATTTAATACAACAGCACTCTCATATTTACATATTTTATTTTTATTTTAATAACCAAGACTTGAATCCATATACCATCACGAGTCTATCTTACCAACTTTTAGCCAAAACTGATCCAGCGAATATTTGATCACGTCACAAATAAAGAAACGAAACAAAAATGTTAATGCTAAGATTTTGTCTTCTAGTCTCGCAACAAAAATAGGTATCATTGTTGATGTTGACAATTATTACACAAAAATAATAGAAGCCCACCTATGGGGACTAGGGAGCAAGATGAAAACGGCAGTCTGCAACATGTTTCAGACACCTCGGGTCACAGCTGCATGTATCGCATCCGCCAAATGTGGCACTGTTTTGGAACTCAGACCAGCCATGCTAATCCTCCTGCAACATAACATAAGCAATGCTTGTTAAGTCATCTGAAATATCGGCATAGAAGCATAACTATGCATAATGGTTGTCTGTGAAATATTAGCTCATAATGCAGGCAAAGATTAACAACAAAAGATAGCAAAAGCAAATTCCGAGTTTGCATCGCCTCAACACAATTCTCAACAAAAAAAAAATGCATCATAATACAACGTGTATTCGCAAAAAATGTCATTTACATAGAAAAGTAATCAATCTTAATTCTGCAGATTTTCGAACGTTTTTTGATAGCGAAACAAAATAAAATCTTTAAAAGCAGAAGTCATTTGACAAATTTTCATTTCTTTATAAAAGAGATGACCTGTGAGAGTGCTGGACAGGAAAACAGGGCTCACCGAGGAGATAACTCAAAAAAGAACTTGGGACAAGAAAAACTACGTTTTCTTAAAAAAATAAAATTCTAAATGCTTTGTCACCTAAGTTTTCTTAAAAAACTACGTTTTTCTTTAATAAAAATTAAGTTCTTAAAATACTTCCGAGTCCCACATATTTCTATTATAATGCACCAAAAAGGGTTCCAATGTGTGACCCCCCCAATTTGAGAATTGGGACACATTCAACTTCATGCTTATTATTTTATACCAAAATTTTTTTGACAAATGCATGGTAAGTAAGATAATGAGGGACATTGCTCATATTCACACTAGACTGGAGCAAAGAACACAAAGAAAAGAAAATGCGTTTCATATTCATTTGAACTCATTCAATGAAATCATAAATAGAGTATCTTACCCATCAGATGTCATATATATATGGTACTCATTAGTCATGAAGGAAACTTGTTCAGTATTCAATCCTGTGAAAGTAAACATTCCAATCTGTTTGATAATGTGACTCCAATCACCAGGTGTGCCTGCTCAGTTAAAGGAGAAATAAGTAAAACAGCAACTTATGTTTCACAGATACAGAAACTAGAAATAACAGAGCAGGGCAGTCAGTGTAAAGAATGAGCAAACAAACAATAACTTCTAGCATACTGGTGCAACAATAATGATACAGATCCATCCAAAAAGACAAAACTAAAGGAATTGCAAAAGGAACTTACCTCTGGAAAGTAAAGCCTCAAAAAGTTGTTGGCGCATACTGATAATACGGTCAGCCATTGCCTTCAACTCAATAGTCCACTCATTGTACAAATCCCTGAAAGAGAAGCAAAAACAGGTGGGAAATTTGAACACAGTAAAAAGTCACATAGCAAAGGAATGCATAGTAGGATCTTCTCCTTGGCAGTATTAAATATATAGACACAACCAACAGATGTGGTGAAGAAATCACAACCAGTAAAATGTTCTCAAGAATCTCCCTTCTAGAGGTAATGAAACATATATTGAAAGCATGAATTCTATAAATACCGAAGAAGTTACAACAACTTACAATCCAAAATTCATTACCACTTCACTGTGCCATTTCACAAAAAAAAAAAAAAAAAAAAGAGAGGAAAAAATAATAAAATATTCGAAAACAAATCCTTCTCTGCCTGGTTCGTCTTAGAAAGCAGAAGAATCTAGGCTCATTACCCGTCCTTGAGAATGGCAGCCACAATGGATGCACCATGAATGGGAGGACTTGAGTACATGGGCCTAATCACAAGTTTCAGCTGGCTCTCAACCCTGCTTGCAACATCAGCTGACTTGCATACCTAGGTGAAAACATTAGGGAAACTTATCAAAACACACTAGAGGTTTCTGGTCATCAAAGAAAAATGAATATATAAATTACATTATATGCACTAAAAGGATACAAAGATTCGAAAAGTAATCAAGATAATAATCAGATTCAGTGGGACACAGAACATGCACGATTCACTTATCATTACTAACAAAAAAATCTTCATTGTCTCTATTTAATGCTTTGTGAATCTTACAATGCTTAAGGCGCCAACACGTTCTCCATAAAGACCCATGTTCTTTGCATAACTTTGTGCTACCAGCAATTCACCCCCATCAGCAACAAACAAACGAACAGGCTGCGCATCTGCATCTAGACTTCCGCTAGCAAAACCCTATAGAAAAAAAAAATCATAGTTTAAAAATAAAAATAGGCATCCAAGACGGTAAAGATAAATTCTTGTGCGGACATGATCCACCTAGGACAATGCAAGAAACAGGAAGTTAAAAGCACTAAGTTTGAATTTTTCTGCCCATGCAAAACTTGGGGATCCAGGGGATTTCAAGTGAATGGATTTTGTAATTTTAACGTAAAGACACAAATTTCTATATGGTAAGAGGAGAATAGCAAGAAGTTAAAAATGCTTGCCTGATAAGCACTGTCAAAGAAAGGTAACAAAGCTTTTGATCTTATTAGCTGCCTAATCTGCTCCCATTGCTCAAGGGTTGGATCAACACCAGTGGGGTTATGTGCGCAAGCATGTAGCAAAACAATAGATCCAGACGGAGCAGATGAAAGATCTTCCATAAGTCCTGTAAGAAACAGAGTAAAAATTAACATAAAATAAACATCATGATTTTTTTAAATATTGATCAGGATCCATACGAAATTGGACATAAATTAGAAAATAAGTAACAAACACTTCACAGCTTGATTCAATAATTTCCAACCTTCAAAGTCAAGCCCTCGTGTTGCTGGAGCATAGTAGCGATATGTTTTGACAGACAACCCTGCTAAGGTGAAAACCTTTGGGTGATTGCCCCAAGTTGGTGTTGGCAAGTATATTGTTCGCTGAAAAGACAAGGGCAGTAAAAAAAGTTAAAACGGGACCGTCAAATTAATTTCAGTTAAAAGGAACAAAGAGGGGAGAAAAGTCAAGGACAAAGCACTTTACTTGGTGATAATGTTTAGCCAAAAATTCACCCCCAACTCTTAATGAACCAGTTCCAGACAAGCCTTGAACGGTGGTAACCCTGTTCTCTTGAATAGCAGGGCTATAACAAACAAACGTAAGCATTAACAATTAGGTACTGACTAGAGAATTTTTTTTATAAACAAGAAACCACTGACGATCGTTCTATTATTAACCTGTCAGCACCGAAAATAAGCTTAGCACTCAATTTATTAAAATCAGCAAGCCCAACAATGGGAATATATTCCTTGTTGCGAGACCTGAAAATAACACAGAACAGAACATTATAAAAAGTTCAGCATAATATCACCGTATATGAGAAGAAAGAAAGAATAGTCAAGTACTAACACGTCATTCACGAGCTGCTGCTCAACTCGCCTCACTACATTCAGAACAAGAGGTTTTCCTTCCTGGAACAATCAAAAGTATTAGCAAAAATCACAAGTTACCAGCCGAATGAATATATTCGGTAATCGTTAGTTACAACAAGTCATTCATTCACTAACATTTTCAGTAGTCAAATTAATGGCAACAACGATTTCATTATTGAATTAACGTAAACTAGTTTATCTCGTCCATAATAATTTAGTAATGACAACTAACAACTAACAACCACAGGTGTAACCAAATAGCACTCTCAAGTCTCACCTCAGTTCGGTAAGCACCAACTCCCAAGTTGACCTTCACTGGACTTGGATCTTTGTTATAAGCGACGGTCACCTGTTTTGCAACCACACAAACAACAATTAATAACAAAAACCGAAAACGATTCGTATGATCAGAGTCAAATTTACGTTAACAAGTTTCCAAACGTAACGCAACAAGGAACGTGCTGCTTCGAAATTCATACGTAATAATCACACACAGCGTAGGATCACACAAGGAAACGATAAATCCGTCCAATAATGAATAATCTAAACCTAGAGGCTATATTCACTAAATGAAATCAATAAAAAAATAATCATCAAAACTAAAAAAACATTGACACGAAGTATAGATCGTTGAGAGAACGATCTTGAGAATTCGGAGAACGAAAAAGTAAAAATAAACGCGCGATCTCACGTGATACGCTATATATTTAAATATTATATATATATATATATATATTATTTACTTTTATA